TTTTTTTGGAGAGACAGAGGGGGGATCTCACTGCCATCAAAAGTGAAGAACTGAGGTGGAGTGGAGCACCTCCTTGGACCTGAGATCCCTGCACTGGACCTCCTTAGCACAGAGACCAGGAGAGAGTGCCAGAGAGATGGCAGCAGCAGAACCAAGAGGCACAAGACAGAGTGACGGGCTTGCCAGCCCATGGAGCAAGAAAGCTGAGTGGCTTTAAGTAGGAACCTTGCAGGAAAAGTGGGGTGTATCTAGGTGCCCCATCGGAGGAGCTAAAAGAGCTTTGTAACACTTGCCCAAGGAGAGGCCAGGACTAGAGGCCTAGGGCCAAAGACAAGTGTGCCTTTGGGCATGACTAAGGGGAAGCTCATCAGCCACTCCTCAAAAGGAAGTTTCAATCTACTTTCATAGTGATACTGCCTCGGAAACCCAAGGAAGGGTCACTATGAGTTGGGTCCAATTCAAGGGCATATAACAACAACAACAAGGGGAAGCTTGTTAATGGAAGCCTTGTATTGAGTGTTCCTGAATGTGAATTATAACCTATTACTTCCCTAATAAAGCCCATCATCATGAGTATTTTCTGTGAATTCTGTGTGCCCATTGCATTTCATTAAAGAACCCAGCAGAGAATTAGAGCATGCCATGGGAGGGACAGTTGGTGTCAGAATTGGTGAAAAGGCTTGAGGGTGGTGGTATGTCTGGCCTCATAGGATAAGCCCTGTCCTGCTGATGGTGATTCTGTCCCCACCTCATGAGACTGGCAGTCAGAAGATGCTGTTTGCATGCCCTTTTGTGTTTGGTAAACATGAAATGCATGTGCAGCATTATAATTCTGTGGAATGTGGGGAATTTTATTCTGACTTAACCTAGAACGTTTTCTCAGAACTTCTTGCCATTGAATAATTTTATCTAGACTTTTTTTTTTTTATCTCCAAATTCACCTTCCCATTCCCCACATTTTTCTTGTTAGATACTGTCAAGTCGGATCTGACTCATAGCAATCACATGTACAAGGGAACAAAATGCTGAGCCATCCTCATGATTGTTGCTATGTTTAAGCCCATTGTTACATCTAATATGTCAATCCATCTTGTTGAGAGTCGTCTTCTTTTTCACTGACCCTCTACTTTATCAAGTGTGATGTCCTTCTCCAGGGACTGTTCCCTCCTGATAACATGTCCACAGTAAATAAGATGAAATCTCTCCATCATTGCTTCTAAGGAGAATTCTGGCTGTATTTCTTTTTTTTTTTGGTGAGTTTGATTATTAACTCTTTTTTTTTTTTCCCACTTTTTATTATGATTTAAAAAGAAAATTTACTGAGCTAATCAGCTTTCTATTCAGTAATTCATACATATTTTGTTTTTTGTTTCATGCCATTGATTGCAGTGTCCACTATGTAACAGGACTTACACCACAATTAAGTTGTTCTTAAGTCTTGTTGATTAGGTATAACTTACTGTCCAGTCAGTTAGAATCTACAATGACATAATGTGTGCAGAGTAGAACTGTTTCATAAGGTTTTGTTTGTTTGTTTGTTCCTTTAACTTTTTATTGTGATTTGGGTAAAAGTTTGCAGAGCAAATTGGTTTTCTGTTCAACAAGTCATACACATTTTGCTTCATGACATTAATTGCAAACCTGCAATGTAACAGCACTCTTTCCACTTCTTTCCTGTGTTTACCATTTCCATTAGTCTTACTATCACTTTCTGCCTTTTGAGCTTTATCCTGGGGCACTTGCTGCCCTTTTGATCACATATGGTTGGTTGTTCTTGGGAGTGTGTTCTTAGGTGTTATTGTTCACCTTATAGGTATCTATTGTTTGGCTGAATATTGAGCCACAGGGGCTTTATAGGGTTTTCAAGG